CGCGCGGCCCCGATGCTCTCCCCACCCCCCAGTTCAGTCGGGAAGGGAGGGGCTGGGGGCTACGCCCCCTCCCCCAAAGCAACCTCAGTTTCCGGGGGGGTGACACCCCGGATTACATCCTCCCCCCGCACCAAGACAAGGGGAACATTGGAGCCCCCCTGGAAGGTTCCAGGATCCAGGTGAGAAGGGGCCTTTGGCGGGCGGGGGCGTTGTCAGTCATTTAAGTGCCTAACCAATGGTGGGGAGTCCGGGAGGGAGATTCTTGGGGTGCAGAGAAGAATCCCGAGGGTGGGAGGATTTGTCCTTCAAACAGTTTACAGCCAATGGGAGTGTGTAGGGGGGCGAGCAGGAGAGGGCCCCTCGGGTGGGGGAGGGGAATGGCCAACCTCTGTCTCAATACCAATTGGAGGGCAAAGGGGCGTGGGGGCGGTGTTCCCCCCCCATTCCATTCGTCCCCTGGGGGTACAGGAGCTTGGAGCCAGGTGAGAAGGGATCCTTTTGGCGTTCGGAGGGTGGGGTGACCTAGTGGGCTGAGGAGTGGGAGTGGTGACTGTAGTTCTTACTCGTAGATGGGAATGCTGAGAGTTGGCAACCCGGTTGTAAACTGAGATTGTTCCCAGGCGCCCACTCCCTTTCTCCGCAGAGACTAAGGAGCATTTCTGTGCTTCCTTTGTATCAGCGGTAGGAAGCTGGCAGTCACCACATGGCACGGTGGAGGTTACACTTCGAGTCGCTTATCGAATTTGTGTGCATTCACGTGGACATGACCTGCGGAGCCTTCCGAACAAAACCTTCTTTGCCGCGGCGGGGGTCTTAGCTGAGCATGTGTCTACCCCAGGCTGGGGAGGGCTTGCAGGCTGGAAGCTTGGGGTCCTCTTGGGAGCAGAAACCGGCCCAACCGGCGTCTTGGGAGGGGTTGGAAATCGTGGCCTGAGACAGGAGAGAGTGAGTCTCAGGACCTGGAACGATTTCACAGCTCCCAAGGTTTCGAGTTTCTCCTGGGTGGCGTCTTTTGCCTCCTTCATCCCCTCCCCCATTCCTGAACAGTTCTCTCCTTGTGTATTGCGGGGGAGGGAACGGAAAGGAGGGAAGAGTTACTTTTCCAAATTACTGAGTAGCAGTAGCCTCCCCTGTGACTCATGTAGGGGAAGGGAGAACTGGGAGGGAGCGGAGAGCAGTGATTTTCCGGAATGCAGGGAAATAAGCCAGAGTACTGTCTGGCTGCCCTTTTCCTTTCTAATAAGGCCCTGTGTACTCTCGACCTCCTAAATTTTCTTTCCTGGCCAGCCCCTTGATGGGCCTGTGTGCAGACTTGCAAGGCCCCGGGTGGAGAAAGGCAGATTGGGGAGGTTGGGCCATTAGGGGGAGGGGAATGGGGGAGGGGAGAAGGCCTTTGCAAAGTTGCTGTGTCATTGCTCTCTTTGCTGCAGCCACCCGGGCGGGCCCGCTTGTACTTTTGGGGCCGAGGTCTGATCGGAGGTGGGGGGGGGGGGGG